GAGGAGGAGGAGATTATAGAATCACAGAAGAGATGGAAGAGACCCCCAAATCCATGCAGGAGGACACAACCAAAGCCTGGTCCCCCTGTCCCTGCCTCCTTGAGGGGTGTCCTCCCTACCTTGGCCAGCTGCTCCAGGGCCTCCTTCTCCAGACAGGTGAAGTTCTCCAGAAGGTCCCACCTCTCCCTCAGCAGCGCCTGCGCCTCCTCCTCCTCGCCAGGGGACTCTAGAGCCCAGAATGCGGCGCTGCCCAGGAGCAGGTAGCTCAGGTAAGCCAGGAGCAGGAGCGGCGTGGTGGGGGCCCAGCACCTCCACCTGTCCGCCCTGGGAGCCCCCGCCAAGGAGGACGCCCGGCTGCCTCCGCTGCACATCCTCCTCCTCCTGGGACTCCTCTCCTCAGCCCTGAAGGCGGACGAGGCACCTTGGAGGCGGGAGAGGGAGGGAGGGATAAGCGGCCGGAGGATGGGTGGCTCCCTCTCTGGCCTCAGGACGGTGGTGCCCTCAGGCAGGGCTTCCCAAACTTTGGGCTTCCATGGCCTTTGGGCCCCAACGCCCACCAGCTTCTGGGCATTGAAGTCCAAAGCCCCCTCCTAGAAGAGGCCCAAAGTGTGGAACCACTGCTTGAGGCTCTGAGGAGTCCTCATTAGTTCCCAAACTTTGGTCCTCCCCAGATATTTTGGATTTCAGCACCCAGAATTCCTGACTGTTGACCAAGCTGGCTCAGGCTTCTGGGCATTGAAGTCCAAAGCCTCCTTAGAAGAGGTTCAAAGTTTGGGAACCACTGCTTGAGTCCCTGAGTCCTCATTGGTTCCCATACTTCGGTCCTCCCAAGGTGTTTTGGACTTTAACACCCAAAATTCCTGACTGTTGACCAAGCTGGCTTAGGCTTCTGGGCATTGAAGTCCAAAGCCTCCTTAGAAGAGGTTCAAAGTTTGGGAACCACTGCTTGAGTCCCTGAGTCCTCATTGGTTCCCAAACTTCGGTCCTCCCAAGGTGTTTTGGACTTTAACACCCAGAATTCCTGACTGTGGACCAAGTCAGGCTTCTGGGCATTGAAGTCCAAAGCCCCCTAGAAGAGGCCCAAAGTTTCGGAACCACTGCTTGACTCTGAGAATTCTTGACTGTTGACCAAACTGACTGAGGCTTCTGAAATCCAAAACACCTGTTGAAGGACCAACAGTTGGGAACCAATGTGGGCTCACATTCAATTCATGGTTCCCAAACTTTGTTCTTCCAGGTGTTTGGGGCCTCAACTCCCAGCAGCCCCAGTCAGCTTAGTCAACAGTCATGAATTCTGGGAGGTGAAGTCCAAAACACTTTGAGGACCAAGGTTTAGGAGCCAATACCAGCTCATACTCAAGCAGCAATTCCCAGACTTTCATCTTCCAGGTGTTTTGGACTTCCGCTCCCAGAATTCCTGACCATTGTCCCAGCTGGCTGGGGCTTCTGGAACTTGAGGTACAAAATACCTGGAAGAACAATGTTTGGGAACCGTTGCTTGAATCTGAGCCTGCATTTGTTCCCAACCTTTGGCCCTGCAGGGGCTTAGACTTCAAGGCCAGAAGCCTCAGGCAGCTTGGTCAACAGTCAGGAATTCTGGGAGCTGAAGTCCAAAACATTGGAATACCAAATTTTGGGAACCAATGAGGGCTCAGACTCAAGTAGTGGTTCCCAAACTTTGGGGTTCCCAGGGCTTTAGACTTCATGTCCCCAAACACTTGGAGGAACAAGGTTTAGGAACCAATGCGGGCAGAGACTCAAGAGACTCAAGTGGACTTTGGGCCTCCAGGTGTTTTGACTTCAGCTCCCAGAATTCCTGACAGTTGACCAATCTGGCTGGGGCTGGAAGAACAGAGTTTGGGAACCACTGCTTGAATCTGAGCCCGCATTGGTTCTCAACCTTTGGTCCTCCAGATGCTTTGGACTTCAATTCCCAGAAGCCTCAGACAGCTTGGTCAACAGTCAGGAATTCTGGAAGCTGAAGTCCAAAACTTCTGGAGAACCAAACTTTGGGAACCACTGCCTCAGAGGCTGTTCTCCACTCACTAACTCCTTTACGGCTCCTGCCTCAGGCGAAGTTCAGATTGACGGCTCCTCAGGCTTGAGGTGAATGAGTGGACAGTTTAGTAGCAGGGTGGCCAAGATGTCCTCACCGCCAAGGAGGACTGCAAAATGTAGAACATGCCAGTAAAAATGTAGGACATGACCAAAAAAAACCCACTAAAAAACATTTGACCAGTTCAGCACATCCCTCTCTATTTCCCGCACTCTCCTTACCTGCAGGCAACAGCTTCCTTGCTGTCTTTGTCCACCAACAACCATCCATCCTTAAAACTGGACTTGCCACTTCATTTCCGTACCCACAAGACTTTGAATTTGAATTGACATTCTCACACGCAAATGACTTAGGGCCTTTGCAGACTGCCAGAAATAGTGCACATTAAATTGAGGCACTACCCTGGCTCAGTGCTAGGGAATCATGGGAACTGTAGTTTATTGTGGCACCAGAGCTCTCTGACAGAGAAGGCTCAATGTCCCAGAAAAAAATACAATTCCCATGACTCCCTAGCACTGAGCCAGGGCAGTGCCTCAATTTAATGTGCACTATTTCTGGCAGTCTGCAAAGGCCCTTAGACAGGTCTGTCCTTGGGCTTTCCACTCCACCTAAAGCATCTGAGGATGTAGGCTCAGGTCTACGAAAACTCATGCTACCAACCTCTTTCTTTCAATTAGTCTCAAAGGTAATAGAAGATCTCTCCATACTCTTATAAATATAAAGTCATGTTTCTTAGTCCAGCTCAAAAGGAAGGACCTTTTGGAATTCCTCCTGGACAGAAGATGGAAATGTAGGATATGGGAGGATGTCTGCTCACCCTCCTTCATTTTGCACTGCAAAATGTAGCACATTCATGGAAAAAAAGTAGGACATGACTATATATCAAAGCTACAAACACTCAGAGAAATATCAATTTTATACTTTTTATTGTTGTTGCATGCCTTCAAGTGGTTTCCAGCAGTACCTGAAGATGGTGAACCTCTCATGGGGCTTTCTTGGCATGGGGGCTTTCTTCAGAGGGAATGCTCACCACATGGCCATCCTCTGAAGTTGTGAGAGTGTGACTTGCCCAAAGTCAGCCACTGGGTTTCCAGGGCCGAAGCTATGATTCAAACCCTGGTCTCCCAGAATCCTAGTCCAGTGCTCAAACCACTATGCCACACCGGCTGTCATGTTTCTTAGTCCTGTTCAAAATGGAGGACATTTTGGAATTCCTCCTGGACAGAAGGTGGAAATGTAGTACACCTCAGTTGTCATGGAGGCTAGAATCAGGAGCATTCTTGGGCTTCTTGTTTTGCCTCCCCATTGTGGTGAGAATGTTATACATTTTTAGAAAAGCAGTTTGGAATGTCTTCTACATGTTACCTTGAGCACATTAAAGATTGCCTGACTTTGGATTGTAAATGAGATAAGACCCAGAGAGTACATGGTATGGAATATCACCAAATAATTCCAGGGATCTTCAGGATGGGCTTGGGACTTTATCACACGGGGGCCAGTTTCATCTTTAAAAAGATAACAAAGCACAAATAAACCATCCCGAAAATAAAGCAAAAATAGAGCTTGAT